AACACTGACGAGACTGGCCACTGTTCTCCGCCATGGTAAATCAAAATTATAACCTTTTCATTGACCATCTGCGTTTTATAAAATTTTCAGAATCATGTTGACATTGTTTTCGACTAAGATACTGTATCCACACGTTGCCTCTGAACAGTTACTGCGATAAACTGGAGAACTTTGTGTCACACTTTCCACAAAAAAAGTTAAAACAAGAGTATGTAGATCTTGGTTGCAATAGAAAGGGTTTTAAAACGTTCTTATAAGTAGCCTATATTTAGGTTCCGCGCTAATGTGTTTTGTTTTTTAATCATTTCCAATTTTAAGAAGTTGCTCACTTTACAATGTGTTACTACTGTACACTTCATAACTGCAAATAAAAGTCGGAAATCTAAATTGAGAGGCCTTTTGACTGCTGTACGACCAGTAGGTTCTATTGTCAATGGAAAAACGCGCAGTACTCACTGGTGATCATATTGCCATCAGTGTGTTGAAGAATCGTATTGTACGAAACTATGTGTGTTTGCATAGCGTAACATAGAACATTTAATTTATGGGAACATTTTATAAAATCACAAAGGATTGATCCTAGTACTATCTCGCCGAAACTTATTTGCAGCAACCACAGGATGACTTAAAAGTTGGTCAAAAAGAAATCATTGTGTGCAGGAAAACCGAAGTTAAGCGTGCCAAAGAGAAGACATAATAATATCTGGAAAGTAAAATGTCAAACTGGTCTTCTAGGGACTTGAGACATGTTAAAAATAACTCCCAATATCATAAACAGCATTTTGCAAGCCTTTCAAGCAAGAACTTTTCGCATACTCCCATATTCAAATAATGGTAACGTGTGTGATAATGATTTTATTTTTAATTTTGAATGTTATTTTTGTTTCACTTCTTAATAGCCCTTCTGTTGTCCGACGATAGGTTCATCCTGGCAAGTAAAGAATAATTTCAATGAGGGCGTTTGTCAGCACTATGAGCTTCGATTATTCGATTTACCGTTCTACTTAAAGCACGACCGCACGTCCGTGGAGGGGAAGTTGGAAATCGTTTTGGGGGAATAGCAAAGGAGGAATCCCGGCCCCGGCTACAAAAATCCTAGGAACACAGTTACTCCTTTCGTT